GCCCTCCCTCTGAGAGCTGCCACAGACCTTACTACCTGTCTCACCTTTGACATAGAGAAGGCACTCGCAGACAAACAGGAGGCTTCCCTTCTTACACTTTATATCAAGGGTGCCTTTGACGCAGTACTTCCTGGCCGCCTTATTAAGAGGCTACGAGAGCAAGGATAGCCGCATAGCTTTGTAGCATGGGTTACTTCTTTCTTGACCGACAGATCTGTCAAAGTAAAGCTGGACGGGGAAATAGGAGTCTCTACTCCTCTTCAGTGCGGGCTGCCCCAGGGCTCTCCTATCTCGCCCATCCTTTTTATGCTCTACATCCAGCCACTCTTCTCCTTAGGGGTAGGCTCTTTCCCAGTGTTACAAAGGTTCGGCTACGCGGACGACATTGGATTACTTGCTTCTGGGCCTACAAAGGCAGGGAATGTTAAGGTCCTCGCAGAACAGGTGGCTAAGGCTTTAGAGTGGGGAACAGAGGAAGGCATTACCTTCGACGCGGAGAAGTCTGAACTTATCCACTTTTCTCGTAAGAGAAAGCAAAAAGGGAGAGGCATCTGCCTACCACCCTCTATTGTAGTGGGAAACAGGACAATAGAGCCAACTCAAGAGCTTCGATGGCTTGGTGTCTTCTTTGATCCCCGTCTTACTTTCTACAACCATGTTAAAAGGATGTCAAGTAAGGCTACGCTTGTAGCGATTGCCCTAAAAGGGACAACAAACACAGTAAGAGGCTCTCCCTCCCATCTGCTGAAACAGGCCACTACAGCTTGCATTCTATCAATCGCCTACTTTGGAAGCGAGACCTGGTTCCCTGGACGAGCCAGAGCCAAGGAAGGAGGGACTACAAACAACCGAATTGGCCGTCACCTGACTCTTTTAGACAGAGTAGTGGCTAAATGTGCGAGGATTATCCTCCCAGTATATAAGACTACCCCTACCTCGGTACTACTCATGGAATCTGGCCTCCTAGCCTCTGAAATTGCTCTTATAACAAGGAGCGAAGCACTAGAAGCTAGGATCCGACGGCTAGACCCTACCCACCCGCTTAAACGATGTGTAAATAACCCTAGCTCTAAAGCTAGGCTTATCTACCGCTCTTATAGAGCCCTGCCCCCCTCTGAAGAGATCGACCCTATACAAGACCCGCCGTGGGACAGAGGTTTCAACCGACAATCCCGGCTTCTAGAGGTAGCAGGACCTGAGCCCAGTGGAGACAAGAGCTCCTTTAAGGCCAAATTCCTTGAGTTTTTAGCTACACTCCCACCTACCGACTTAGTAGTATTTACCGACGGCTCTCGCTTGGACGATAAAAGCACTGGTGGGGGCGTGTGCCTCACAAGAGGGGGGGTTGTTCTTAATACAAAGAGCTTCTCTTTCGGCAAAGCGTTAGAAATATATGATGCAGAAGCTAGAGCTGCTCTCCATGGCCTAGAGCTTGCCCTAGAATCCTCTTTCTGGCCTTCGGCAAGGAAGTGCTGGATCTGCCTTGACAACCTTGAAGCCACACTACAGCTGACCTACCGGTCCTGTGGCACCTCACAAGAGACATTTAACAGGGTCTACGAATTAGCTCAATCGTACCCTGGGAAAATACAGACAAGGTGGTGTCCTAGCCACATAGGTATCCTTGGCAATGAGATTGCGGATAAAGCTGCAGGAAAAGCAGCGCGGATACTTCTTCCTGGTCCCCCCTCTCTACTCTGTACAGCCACGCTTAAGAGAGAGGTAAAGGAGCTAGGGGGCACGCTTGCGAAGAAGCTCTGGAGCACTACACTTCCAGGTCTTTACAAGGATCTAGGGCTCTACAACTGGTCCTTGAAACCCCGGTCTCTCCAGCTGCCTAGAGAGGTCCTAGCCCGCTTAATAGCTGCTCGTTCTGGCCATGGAGACTTCACCGCCTACCACCTTCGTTTCTTTCACTATGATACACTTCTCACCTCGGGGGAGTGTAGGTGCAGGAAGGCTAAGTCTCAATTCCACCTACTCTTTTGCAAGCTAGCAAACAACAAAGCACCTAAGCTATTAGCTAAGGCTAAGAGAAATCCTCAACTGCTCTTCGGATCCCACTGCGAAGAGCTCTTTAGCAAGGTTTACTTCAATACTGAATTCTACACTAAGATCTGCCTCTCTAGATAGACAGGCCTTCTTTTATTTCCTTTTTCTTTATATATCTCCTTTGTTTTACCCTGGTTCTTAAACTAATTAAGGATAAGAGCTGTTCCGAAAGTGGAGCTTCTCTTTAAACTGCCTCATGTAAATTAGCTCTTTCGTTTACACCCCCCTGTAGCCTAGGGCACCCCCCTAGCGTCATTTGCCCTATTTTGGGACTCTTCTAGGACCTAGCCCACGCGAGCTAGACTCCGCTTGACGCTAAATAGCAATAAATAAATAAAAAATACATGAAAATTAGGTGTAATAGTGTACTTAATTGAGGGTACCTCAAGTAGTATCTGGCTTCCAAAACCTACACTGTAACACGTATTTCGAAACCAGGAGGGATCGTCATTTCTCACAAAGCATATTGTTACTAGAATCTGCCGCTATTAGTCTACATTGTTTTCAAGGCTTGCTCTACAAGCACATCAAGCTTTCCATGTATAAAAAATGCTCAGGCTGAATTTCCAGGCGAGCCCCACTTGTCCACATTTACTGCCTCAACTCCAATCCAAGTAAACTTTGCTGTCGGATCTGGCTCTCCAGTCATATTGAATAATGCAACCTAAACTCACCCTAAACCACCCGATGGCTTAAATTAAGGACCTCATGAATTTCGTCATCCTGAAGAATTCGACATTGTTCTTAAGCTTAAGGCCCTTCTCGGTAGTAACTGGCCACAATTTCCGGGCAACAGTAATTCGACGAGCATAATCTGGTATTTCCTCTTCAGTCTTTGGTTTCTCTTTCGGCTCCTCTTTCGGTGTATTTGACTTTTTTTGAGCCCTTGGCTTCTCCTTTAAGTCCTTCGGTTCCCCATCGGAGATCTCTCGATTTTCATTTCCTTTATCAAGCTTCTTTTTGGAACACACTTGCTTTTCCATCGACGTGTGCTATGGTAACCCCAAAATCCGCCCTTTGGTCAATTAGACTATTGCAACCGCCGTAGATTTGATGAATTAGACTATGGCAGTGGCAAACATGTCAATCCATTCCATAATGTCCTTTTGTTGTGGCTTGGGTAGGTGTGGAACGAGTGAGGTGGTGGGTGTGGAATGAGAATAAGGAATGGAATGTGAGTTGTAAACACCACAACAAGGTACTAATCTATATGACGGCCTGTGTTCACCACCCTTTATGCATTCCATAACATCATCATCCACTCTAATATAGATGCCACAGAAACCCTCATGTCGCCGCCCGACGCCAACTACCACGACCAAAAAGACAGAAAACAGGGCTAAAAACGGCTTCAAAATCGGCGCAAAAAAAGACGAGGTAGTGCTAGACGTAGGCCAAAGGTAAAATAATCGTCTTTAGATTAGCGTTAGGAATAGCTTCAGTTTTTTGGTAAGAGTGGACTTGCGTAGCGTTGTGTTTTAAGTGCTTAATTAACTAGGTTGCTTTATTTACTTTCTAGGCGAGGGTGTACTTTAATTAAAAATCGACTCTTATTATTAATAAAAGTTTAATACAAAGCGAATGTTTTAGAATCTCAACAAACAATTAATAATACCCACACATAAGCAAACTGGAAGCCAGAGGTAATCGGAAAAAAATGTGCAGTCATTACTTGAAACTTGTAAAATACACCACTAATTCCAAACTTTCGTACGCGACTAATTAGTCCCCGTTTGCTGAACACCCATTCAACAACAAAAAAATCCACGAAACTCCACTTTCGAAAACCAGAACCTATTTCTCAAACCCCGATGTATAAATACACATCAATATGAACGCCCCAAAATCAGAACCCGGTTATACACTAGAAACCCTCTGAGATTCCATCTCACCCATCTCCTCAAACCACACTAAAACCAAATCATCCCACAAAGGAAGATCTAGGATCTAATCCCAAATTCCCTTTTCTGACCACCCAACCCGCTCCGACTCCTTTCAACAATAGCAAGAATACTCATCACAGCAAGAACCTCGAACTCCTCTCCCAGGCCCCCCACCACCTTCCCATTCGGAAACCGAAACATTCCCAAGACCCTTTTACTATTCCCATAGGCTTTCATCGTTCCAGCAAGTCCTGCGTACACAGCAATAGTTTCACCATTACTCATACGAATAAGTTTGAGACCGCCGCTTTCTTTCCTTCCTTCTGAAGTGCGGATGAAGGGACCAGATGAGTATCGCCATTCGAATCGTTCGCGGACAAACGAGCGCGGGTTGGTGTATGAGAATGTGAATTTTTCGGTGGAGAACATCCCACCGGTAGGAGAAAGACGTTCGGTACGTGGTTTTGGGAGATTCGAAGAGGATGAATTAGAACTTGATGGGGAACTGGGGAAGGAGATTGTGCGGTATGTGGAGGAGCTGTTGGCGTCGCATGGAGACATTGTGATGTCTGATTTCATTGATGAATTTTGAAATTCAATGTAGGATAGAACTGGAGAGGATTTTGATGGGCCATTATGGAGGAGGATTTCGGGTTGTCGTGTGTATCCGTAGGGCGAAGATTCATCTTGTAGGCTGATGTAAAATAGATGAGGCGGTGAGGGGAGGGGTTTTATATCGTTCGGCGAAGGTGCTGGGGGCGAGGGACTCAGAACAATATCATCTTTTCTCTTGTAAAATGTTATATCTCCTATTGCAAATTAGAACACGTTATTTCTAACAGTAAGAAAAGTCGAGATGAAGAATTTCGGGCCCTTTTTGTCGACCGCTGGAACTGAAGTACTGTTAATAGGACCAAAAGAAAAAGATACATACTTGGTAGGCGGGGATATGACGATATTGTAGTCATCACAGGATCTGTGACAACCTCTGGCATATCGGAATACTGAGCAGGGCCGGCGTATGACCCATCATCAAATCCCAATACTTGCTTCCACTTCCTATCTGAACATGTACGGATCATTTTTTCTGCAATAGCTGGAGAGTCCTCGAGAAGACAAGATGTCGGTATGTATTCAAATGTTGAATGATGAAACCTATACGAAAATTCGGATTAATTCAGAGCTTGCCTTAAGAGGGGTCATGATGAGCATGGTTGGGGCACAGCCGGTTAAATCTGGGGCTGAAACGCCGACAAGTTGTGCTGTTGGTTTGACACATGATAGGCTGTGGTTTGGTATGCTAGGCTGCATGTAGCATGTAAAGTTGTACACAAGGGGAAGCTGTTTGCTGCACAGAGCTCTGGGATTCGTTGAAGACCTAGTGCCTTGACATCTGATCGGATTTACTGCAGGGTCACCAAAGGGATGCCTTGACTATGCGTATCTTGATAGCTAAGCGAGGCCTCAAGCTTTTTCTATTGCTTTGAAGTTTGGGCAGAGAAAAAGATGCTAGTGACTCGAAACATGCCATAATAGGTTCGATATAATATAAAGACCCCAGACAATGAATTCGAATGAGAGCATCTCACCACTTGCCAGAACGAGCTAAAACGCAAATGCGGAACTTTGTTCGAGAGTGAAGGATTCGGATCACCAGCCGGTACCACGAATTGCCTCGTTGGGAACTTCTGTACTACTTTGTAAGCTCCGGGAAGGACAATAATTGGTATGGAGTCATATGGTATGTCATAGCCAGCACCAAGATTGTCATACATCCCTCGAGAAATTGGAAGACAAAGCTCACTCGAGTTTTATGCAATCACTTCCGCTGGAGTTGGTTGAGACATCCGTAACACTTCTCCGAAGATGCTACAGAGGCTGAAAAATATCTCTCAAATCTAGCCTTCTGAACAATCTCCCCTGCTGTGTAGCCGTTTCCGCTCGGTTCAATGATTGAAGATAGCATAGCAATCGTAGCCCAATAATCGGAACCACCTTCCCTTGTATGTTTCGAGGACCTGCAGCTTGCTGTTATAGATGCCCCACGATACCAACAACCCGTCCCCATATTTCTAGGATTTCATACGTTCAGAGTGGCGAAGGATTTGTTGGAGCCGCGGTTGTGCAGGTGTTTAGAGTTCGAACCAAGCGTAAATGCGTGGCTACTGTTGGGAGCTTCAAAATAGGAGACAATCAGAAGATAGATTCCCACCTGGATAAGTGGGTTGTCGTGTGCCTTGCATACACATATTTGAGGTTGGCGATGTTGCAGTGGCTGAAAGGGTGGGGAGCATTTTCAGGGGGAATGGGCACGCTGGGCGTCGGCTAGGAAAAAGCAACTTCATTTCTCCTCTTCACAACTCCACAAATATTATTGATCGGCTCTCTGTGCCGTTTTACGGATTGGTAACTCGATCAAACATCTTCTATTTTCGTCCACGAAAACATGGCATTGGTAAAATTCAAGCAACATCATGAATCAGCAGTCTTCACCAAGGATCATCCGGGTACAAGAACGCCATACACCACGAAATTCTGCAGGTCCCCGGGCCAACTTTTGCTACCCTTCACATGCGGTGTATCCTTCCATTCTCTTCCGTCCCACTTGTACCACTGAGTCAATGGTTCCTCCCGCGGTAAACGAACGGAAATATCCTCGGAGTTACCCTTGCTGAATTGCCACACAGTAGCGAGAGCATTTGGTTGGAATGTATTCATCTTTATCTTTACCAAGCTAGATGAATTAGGTCACTTTAACATTCCACTGATATAACAACCAAAGACATCAACTCAACTTACAGTCTGGTTCTTGTCTCCTCGCATAAATCTCGGCTCTGTTTCAGATACAAGTAGTGATGGTTGCACATCATCTCGTAAATCTCAAATTGTATTTTCCTTGACGGCAGACAACAGCTGATCTACTTCATGCATGATCCGGCATACAGTAACAAAACACAGCTCACCTAGCATATTGATGCAAGCCTTGATCGCTGAGGCAAATTCTTTGAGTGGGATGAAGAAACGGATCGTTACCGGGTTCTGAGCATACACTGGCACGAATTTCTCCGCAAAAGTTATAGTCCCTGCTCTACGCATACCTTGAGAGGATGATTTACGCGAAGTCCTAGAACGATTCATCCTGTTACTCTAGAGTGTAGCATAGGAAAACAGTGGAGTAATTGAGAATCTCAGCCATCAATTAACCTATGTCATTCATATAATTATATCTATTGTGCAGATATCTCAAGTACGATTTCGAGTTTGCCAGGGTGCAAGGGGATACTGTAACTGGCCATATCTCCTGCGTCCAAGCGAAGGAAAGAGGCTGAAAACCCAGTGTCGTTTTATGGTATACTTGCTGGATTTTGATCTGCTTAATAATGTTCTGTTTCATCAAATGATAAATATTTACCTCAGATAGTCTTATTTGATGTGATGTCATGTCCTTCGTTCATTAACAAATTTCAGTATAAGATGTGAGTTGATGATACAGAGGGAGCGGTCCCCTACAAACCATTTTTTGTGAGAAGTCTTTCTAGGAACCATTCTTAATCACGTATTTACCCTTTCTGGTCAATCACAGAAGTATTCTAAATTCAATTGCTCAGATGAAACATAGCACCAGATTCATCCCTGTTCTCAAGACACACCAGTCCAAACAGCAGGAGCAGCATAAAATACATGAAGAATATAGGAAAACATCCAGCTTCTGTTATGTTTCCTCCTTCTTCATCTTCCTATGAGGACAAAGCCCTTCATATTTTCTCCCCCATAGAGGGAGGCCCTACTCAAATTCAAGGTCTAACCCCCACAGCAGATTCGAGAACATTTCATAAAAAGCATTCTAATTTCACTGCTTCTTAACTCACTTTTATTATATAATCGTTCAAAGTTGCGCATTTCAGTCTTCGCGGACCTTCTATCACATCCCAAATCCGTACAATCTACCTAGGCTTCCATCTCACGCCACCAATCCACTTCACGAACGCAAGCACATCCTCACGCTCCAGCAATTTCTCTACATTGTAGAACTCCCTAGCCAACTCCTCGTTCGTGGCAACACTATGTATGAAACCTGAAAATCGGTTAGTTATTCTCGTTCATCCAATCTTCTTCTCCATTTCCTTCTCTTTCCATCCATTGAAATGGTCTGATGAGAATAAAAAATATGTAAAAGAGCGACAAATATTCCTGACATAAAATAACAATACGGAAATAAGAATAAAAAGCAAGACATAGAAAGAAACAACATACTATGACACCCTCTACAAATCCAAGCAACATCCTCCAACCTCTCCTCACTCCACCATCCCTTCTTCAAAGCCTTCGCGTACACACTTCTGGGTATCAAATGTTGATACGAGAGCGGTATCCAGCTTCTCCCACAGATTTCGCAACCCTCTGCTTCATCCTTCGTCAGCCGCGGTGGGAGCGGGTTTTTCAAAACTTCCTCGAGATAATTATTCAAAGTGTTTTTAATGAGGCTATCCGAGGATGAAGTTGAAGATGAGGTGGCAAAATATGTGCTCAAGGTCTCGGTGATGCTTAGCGGTATGGTATTTAGGAGGGGCTGGAGTGTCGAAGAGGAGAGAGGTGGGGTATAGATTTGGAGACTGGACGTTGACTGGTGGATGGTGTAAGTGAGAGTACGAAGAGGTGCTGGGAGAGTGGTAAAGATTTCGGTTGTTAAGTACTGTATTTACCACATACGTCAGTCTTCCAACATATCGGTAAATTCGAAGCTGACGGAGTCCAAGAAAACTTACATCAATAAATTCCCCCAGCTCCTCTTTATCATCACCTTCCCCATTTTCCGTCTGATTTACACCGCCGGTACTATCTAGTTTTTCATCATCTCTCTTGCCATTGTCTCGCCTACTCGCTTTCCCCTTTCCGATCTTCTTCGCCTTCGTCTTTCGCCTCACTTTCTCCTTGATATTCCTTGATTTCTCGATAACGAGACCTCCCAAAACCTCCCTGAACAACCTAAAATTCCCGTCTTCAACTTTTTTGTGTTCCTCTTTTGGGTTGATTGGCTGCGGAGCCGCAGGCATTTTCTTTCTAGGCCCGATAATCTGATATTTGATACAGATGTTTCTTTGGTGGCGAATTGAACTAGATACTCTAGTGAATATGATGTTAGATTATATAGCGAATCCCAAAGAGATGGAAAGTTTACCACGGTTCACAACCCAGTGGGAGCAGAAAAGTCGATACCTTATCTACTCCCGGTCGATACCGTATCGACAACCTAAAAAAAAAAAAGTTGTCTATGATTTTCGCTTACCCTCCTAGCAGGTAGGAGCGGGTATAGATAAGGTATCTATAACCGGTTATAAATAAGGTATCGACAATTATCGATAGGGTATCTATAACCGATTATATAGGGGAAGTTTTCTTTTAAAAAATAATTTTCTTATAAAAGGCTCTATTAGTCTCTAATAGTCGTCTATTTATCTCTATAGCGTTCTCTATAAGACCTTTTTTTATTAAGTATAGGATAAGTTTTCTCGATTTCGCTAAGTACTTTTATTAATCCCTTAATTTTACTAAGTACTTTTACTAGTCTAGTAGCTAGGAATAAACTTTTATTATAGTTTTAGGTACGTAGATCCTACTACGTATATACTTCCGAGTACTACTAGGTACTACCTATATATTACTACCCTTCCCCTACCCTCTCTTTACTCCTACTATCCCTACCTATAAATACACTTAGTCGTTTTGTTTTTTACCCCCTCCTATCCCTACCTGTGAGTGTACTTAGTAGTTTTGTTTTTACTCCCTCCTATCCCTACCTATAAGTATACTTAGTAGTTTTGTTTTTACTTTCTCCTGTCCCTACCTATAACCTCTATATATACTTAATTTAAGTAAGTGATTAGAGCTATAAAAGTATAGAAATAAGTATAAAACTACGTAGAAAAATGTTACAATTTATTAACAACTTTAGACATTTTAGTAACTATTTATTAACAACCGTTTATAGATAAGGTATCGACAATTATCGATAGGGTATCTATAACCGAGCGTATACAAAAATATAGATAAGGTATCGACAACCGGTTATCGATACCTTATCTACGCCCGCTCCTACTGGGCAATGGAATTTTATTGACAGGTGCTAGCTTAACCTAAAGTGCTAGCAACAAGGGCCCACTCCCCAATCCAGAACTAGAATGAAAGGAGTAAAACTCACTGTGCTGTTCATGATACAAGATATAAATATATTTTATCAGAGTATACTCTTGAAACAATGATCCCTGGTAATCCCATTCGCGATAGTAAGAATTTTATATTGCACGATTAGCCGCCAGACGTGAGACCCGGGAATGTGAACCTCAGGTGAACTCTCAAATATTTACAGAGACTAAGGAATTCCGAATTTAAACCCGTCTCTATATACTCTTAAAAGAATCCCCAAAGACCAAAACGTCTCAATCCTAAGTAAAGTAATATAATCCAGGTACCTTAAAGTAAGCTCCCAGCTGAGTCTACCCCGCTTTACAGTACATTAATTCGAGAAGCATCGCTACCCCGCGTGCGTCATCATCCCTGCGCCAACTCTAGGCGCAGGCCACGGCCCCAAAACAAAACTCCTACCACATAAGAGCAATGAATTATTCTTCTGCGACGTTCCTTCCTCTTCTCGAAATGATATTAAGATATGAATTACAAATGAAGGAGATGAGCAGGAGACAGGGAGGCGTAAACACCATGGATAGGCAACAATTGGTGGCGTATCTCGGACTTGACTTGGGACCAATTCCAATCAGTTTTTGACAGGTCTTCAGAATACGAGGTAGAAATGGCTGCAGGTGTTTTGACCATAGTAATAAACCGTTGTGGGACACATCATTCTTTCAGAATTTTTAGTTGGGAGATGAAAACTCGCCGAGCGGCAATAAAACGAAGCTAGGCGCGGGAACTCGCCCCCCATAAGTTTATGAATGAAGATAAAAAAGGTATCAGCGAGAGATGAATTCGTTTCAAGTAAGGCAATACAGCCCTTCTCAAGGAATCCATTGCGAAAATGTTTCGGTGGCTGTGTTATATCTGTATACTACAGCCAATAAAAGCCTTCATACGTAGAAAACTACAGTATAAACCCCGCCATACTTCAGCCTCGTCTATTTCAATTTTGGACTCTGCTTGTAATGAAACAGAGAATAAATTTTTATTCGCGTAACTCAATCTAAGCTATTAGTCATTCAAGTTCTTTTTGACTAGGAAAAAGAATTAATGGGACATGCATGTAGACTGTATTTGAATTCCTCCAACATTCGTTTGGAGTTTGAGATTGGTGACCATAGTGGATTTTATTTCAATATTTAGCTTTAAATGTTCAACGGTGAAATTTAAAGTCCTTTCAGATGCCTCACTGCATATTGTACTTAAATAGAATTTCTTCTTTTGCTACACGTCGAGTGACTTTGGCAAGGCAGACAGTTCCCCTTTGATGCTGACAAGCGAGTCGCACATCAAGACGCAGGCGTTGAAGCATAAAACACCCCAAATGTCCACCAAACAACCCTCCGAGAATCTAGAAGGCTTGATTCTACTACGTCCATTTCCCATTACTGAACGATGGCGCAAAACGGATAGCTGCTAGCTCTAGTAGGTCACAATATATAATTCCGCACCCTGATTTTGAAGATGCATCTCAATATTTGCCTCGTTGCAGTTAGAGCAGGGCTTCTCTGCTTAATTCTTCTTTACAAAAACAACCAAAGCTTAGCATCCTCACAAACACGTAGGTGGTGCTACTGTGCCGCGGTTCACAAGCAAGAATAATCGCACTAAGCGCTTAAAGTCCGTCTTTACCCTTGTTGCGATCAATCCCGCAGATCTAAATTCCGATTACGCATCTCACCCATTCAAAAATGTGGAAGATGAAACCACACCCTCAAAGGTTGGCTTCAAGGAACAATTTTTTATCGGATAAGAACTCATCATCGTCATCAAGTACTGGTATGTCTATGTTTTCAGCTATCTATCCTACGGTAGCATATCCCAGAATAGACTTACATGGTATAGCCACAATCCTTCCCGCGGAATCCTTCATGTTGTCAATCTGAAAGTCTTACAGTGAGGTCATGATGTGTAAATGAAAGGATCGAATCCTGTTCGTGACGAAAATAAAAAGGGGTTTAAAGAGGTATATAAACATAGAAGTTAACCTTATTCTCTTTCCCATCATCAGCGAAATTTATTAAACAGCAAGTCTCCTTATTCATTCGGTCATTCATTTTGGGGAAATTTTGAAAACACTGTACCATCTACGTTATACTTTGCATCACATATCTCCCTCAAAATGCAATATCAACTTATACGCTTGTATTTCAGCTCGATGCTGGCAGCCCTCTCTGTAGCATCGCCAACTTCCAACCTCCAACCCCGTGATAAATTGAAAGTCCAAATAACATGTAAGTTCCCCCACACATTCCAACAAGCATGCGAGACTAACAACCTCAAAAAGTCTCCGACCAAACAGTTCCCCTTGGGACCACACCAGTCAACACAGTCTTCGACGCCTTCGCCAAAACTTGCGCAACAAGCGGTCCCTGTAACACCTCACACCAGTCGATGTCACGGGCTACAGCCTCTGGTCTCAAGGACGAAATCCCTCCTCCAATACAGGAATAACAATCACCATCGTACCGGGTGGTGTCTATCCAACCTGGGTGCATAATGAACTCCTCGATGGACTAAAGGCGGCTGTTCAAAAAGCGGCGGTTTGCAAGGATGTTACATACACCTATCCTAGTGATGTGGATAGGCATAGTAACAGTACGTCTTTTCTCCTTCCTCTCGCTCTATTCCCTATCGATCATATTGTGCATATGCTGATCGCCACAGGTTCTCCTCGAACTGTAAAACAATGCACAATCCCCCAATTTGTGTGAATTACATGGCAATCAGGCGACGCAATTTACTTTATGGAGTTTGCATCCAAGACCACTCCCAATGCCGATGGGTTCTGTAGTACTTTCACGACGCTCAGTGGTGCCGTTGCTGGTAATTAATTCCATCTCGTCCTCTTATCTTTTCTTTGGCTGACACACGATAATGTGGGTGCTGTAAATGGTGCCGCAGGAGGAATCTTCGCTTTTCTTGGCCTTGCTTGTGGTTCTTCTGCTAAAGTACAGTCCTACTATCCTAGCTTGAAAATACGAGAACATGATTGGTACTTTTAAATATGAGTTAGCAATGTATACTACAGGGGAACTGTAAATAAGAGTCATATGCTTAAACGCATTTGTAAAACTCAAAGCGACATTGCATTGGGGTTTATTGGACTGTATTCGTAGACTACTTGAAAAAGGCGGTCGGATAGCGATTGCCCGCCGTATAATTTTAGCGACCTTATCTCGTCAGATGATATGAGAATTCGTGGCTAATAAAGGGCAGACACCTTGCACTTTTCAACTTCAATTGTCAAAAGGGGGCTTAAAGAGCTAATCATATTACTCTGAAAGACTCAAATAAGTAATAGAATCGTGTTCAAGTTGTCATATATGTGTCAAGGCAACGCTGGAGGACAGACCAGCTTGAAGTGATAGGTTTCTGTTCTACTCTTTTAGGAAGATGAAAACCCCCCTCTATAGCAAGAACAACATCCAATAAGAAGAAAATGAGTCACATATCGGGAAAGACAAGAACAGAGGACTTAGTATTCATGATTTGGAAACCGTGTTCTTATTATAGAATGGCACAACATCCAGATGCTGTACTCATAACTTTTAATACCATTCGTTTTAAAAGAGCCCAAAGCAGTAGCACCTCAGGAGCTGTATCCTTCTCGCGTGAGATTTCGTGGGCTTTTAACACCTCGGACGACGAGTTGAGTACATTACCTTGCTGCCTGCAGCAAAGAGTTCAATTTCGTTTGTTTATGGGGGCTCTGTTTGATTCGTTGCCATTCCGATATGACAATGGACATATGATCGAATGCTTGTGAATAGTATGTTATGGTATGGTTAGGTTAGGTTAGGTTCAAGCCGCAAGGGTCAAGCTCTCCATCATTGTGGTAGAAAGATCAGCCATAAACCAGTCGTAACCTCACTCCTGTCTAGGCGTAAGGTGGCGAGTCACGCACGCGGTGAACATTATCCGGTTCCTATTTCCCGCCCTCTTAGACGTATCATGGGGTGTCGCGTGGTGGCAATTTGCGAGGGATGGTGCTGGAAGAGATTCCAAGTCACTTTCAGAACTATCGGTCGTATAGACGTACTCGTAATGGTTCCTAGGTTTCCCTTTCGCCTTCAGCCTGTATTCTATGTGGTCTCCGGTGGGTAAACTGGCTTCGAATTCTTTGTCTCTCGAGGGCTGGAGATATAACCGGTGGCATAGGCCACGGGGCATATTCATGGGAATAGATTACCGACTGTAAATCGTCATAGAGTCGTGATGGGAGGAAGTCCCTTTCGTCTTCTAAACTTCGCCTAACTCCACCGGGGTCTGGTCGACCTCGGTCTCTCCCGTTTTCAAAGACGCGGTTTCTTGCCATTGACCTACGCCGGAAGTCTTCATCATCCTGATCCCGCCAGTTATATTGAATATCTCTTTGGTCAGAAAATAGGTCATTCCGCGGCCAATGGAATCCTTCTACATTCACCGACCCCCAACTCCTTTGACGTCTGTCTGGTGGTGATGAGGAGCGATGACTTTCTGGGCGTTTTATATTCATCCATCGGTCGTCTCCAACAGGCCTCATAATGCCAATTTGAAGTCTGAAGTTTGGCTCTAGACGAAGTGGCCTCTGTGATTGGGGAGGTGGTGCGAGCCAGCTGCGAGCTTCTGTGGATCTAACTAAAACAGTTAGAAACTACAACTTCAATAGCGGTGGGAACTGAAGAACTGTATTTCTGTAAGACCTGATAGTCTACAGTATATGTTGCCTTATCGGGAGCAAGATGGCCGACTTGTACGGCAAGCTCGACTCTGGCGACGGCGGTTTCATAATCCTCAGCGAATGTAAGTTCAGGGTCGTCTCGGTCTAGGCTGCCGCTAGCCTCGCAGATGGCGAATATGTTATCTGGTTGGCATTGGTATTCCCCAAGTTGAACTTAAAAGTTGAGGAAAGACACGTTCGAAGGGTAGAGTTCCTTGTCGATGTTGAATGATAGAACCTCTCGAGAATGCGAAGTCAGTTAAATATCAGATCTCGCTTAATAAGTGGGTCTGGGCAGGCGGAAGTGACCATAGGGCTTAAGAGAAACCAGGGGGATACTTCACTGTGACAAAAGGCTCTGAGTAACGAAATAAAGGACTTGATGGAGATTTCAAATTGCAGTGTAAGTTGCTGCTTACCTTTCTGTAGCACCCTCAAAGTTGATTCACTGCCTGTTAACTTTACTTTCACGGTCATGATGGACACCAAATATCATCAATAGATCCCAAACTGGCGGCAGAAAGTACCTTGGCTTCATGTTGGAAGCCCCCTTGTCTCGGCAGTTGTGAAAATTATCATTGGGAGCCATTTCACTAGAATAAAACATCTTTTGGCCACTGTCCATCTCCTAATAGGAGCAGAAAAGTCTATGAGGTATAGACTCCCGGTCTATACCTTATAGACAACTGATTATCCAGTAGAATACTAAAAATTCTAAAAATATTATTCCTAAAACTCTCTCTAAATAAGTAGAATACTTACACAAATACCCTCCTAAGCTTATAAATCCGAAAACCCCCTTATTTCGTCAGGAATCTATAATTTTCTTGTACTATCTTACCTCTATAAAATCGCTTCGCTTACGGGAGTCTATACCTTATAGATAACCGATTATTTAGGGAGAAGTTTTTTTTAAAAAAATTAAAATTATAAAAGGTTCTATTAGTTTCTAATAGTCTTTTATTTATCCCTATAGTATTCTCTATAGGACTTACATCCCCTACGAACCTTACAGTTCTAAAAGAGTTCGCACGGTTATAGTACTCGAGCCACTTACTACAAGGTAATTGTTGGACAAATATGTACATAGGATTTGTATTGAATCAAGAGCGATACGCCAGGACGCGAAACGAAAACTGCCATATTCAGGTGACCAAGATTACATGAGCTTATCAAATGAACACTTGCTGTATCAAGGTAAGCAATTTAGGGCTTATCTCCAAGACGGCGTTGAACGGCAATATCCTCGAATGGCCTGTTATGTGGGCCATATTGGCTGTCCAAGACTCCGTCCACGTACATAGCCAAGTGCCTGGTAAACTCTAATTCTAGGATATTACAGTACAATCTTCCTCCTACTTGAAGATATTCCAAAGGGAATTTTTGCTTAGGACAAATAGATCGACCTTAAAATTGACCTAAAGCCGAACAAAACTCACATCTATACCCTATTCGTGACTTTCTTCGGGCTCCTAGAGTCGACGTTTCTATCTAGCTAAAAACCCTAGCTATAATCTTCGATTTGAGATAGTAAACTAAGCATTTTGTATCGAATGCGCGACCCTATATTATCGTTCGCCTACTTAGGGTTCTCAGCCCTATTTATCTCCATCACCCAAAAGCTACACGGGTATACCCTAAAAGTCTTTTCTTGCTAACTTGAAAATGTGGTTTTGCCTAGTGGAGCATCCATAACAGCCACTTTTGCCCCGCAGTGCCAAGGATCTGTATTACAGACCCCCTAAGCACTTCTCCCCCACGGGAAATTGAGGCTCAATCTTCTCAGAAAATAGGGCTTGGAATAATCAACTTGGATTGTCTCGATTAGCTTCTTTTTCCCGGATAATCCGCCGAATATTTCTAGCACTGAAGCAAGTATATCCTGTCTTGTCAGGTAGCAGCCTGGTTTGCAACCAAGAATTGAAAAGTCAACCTTATAATAGTCTAATAGGACGTTGGTTTTAACTATAAATGACGTAATAAAGTAGAACAGGAACAAGACGTTCGATCCTCTATGGGGAACGTTCATACCTATAGTGAACACCGGATTATTTGAATATAAAGAGTATTTGAACAGGGTAATTAGAAACACCTGAGTTCTTTAGCCTTCCATGTCTCTTCCAGCTCCAGCTATCAACTCCAGCAAAATTACATGAAGCTGGAATTCGTTCCGGTATCCTGTGTTTACCAATTATCGGGTTGCCTAATCTTAATTACCTATCGTTCTACCATTCTCGTAGTTCTATTAAATGATTCTCAACCACTGTCATGGTTGTAGTCTAGACGAAACGTAGTTGGGATCAGAAATTCATCAGGTTCTTTTATCAAATTCCAACACAACACATTGTACCTGTTCTGATCAACAGCCTTGGTGTGGATTCAGATCCAAGATCTTAATCCTAGTATTAGGAAGGAACTTGTAAGATTGCAGTACCGAGTCAGTAAACGGCTTTCACATGACCAGTGACCCAAATACCGTCCAATGTCAAGCCAAGCGAGAGAACTGTGTTACTACCAAGGCAGAGGCCCCACCGCGTATTTCGCGACAAACCCCGCAACTACATTGTATAATTGCTTCTATTCTGCAAATTAACGTCAAATGGGTATCTGATGGCTTTTGATAGGTGTAAGGAGGTCTACAGGTGGATCAAAGTGAAGGGTGCAATGCGTCAATATAAGTGGACAAAGTGAAGCTGTCGATAATACGAGAGTCTGTCGAAGGTGAAAAAATGACTTGATTATTCTAAGTACAGAGGAATGCGGAGCATATATAGACAGGAGCGATATTTCCTAATTTAGCTAGTACGAGAGTACAAGCGAGTGCGGAAAAGGATACGAGCTAATTACCGATATATAGTACTAATATATCGAATAAATACTATATTATATTAGTGTAATTTCGTAATTCCAATACTAATTTAGTCGTATAAGCGAGACTCAATTATCGTATTGATAGGCCGAAATAACTACTAAAATACAAACGACAAATAAACAAGCTTACGTATTGGTCATTTCCGACACTACCAAGGCCGAGGCCCCAACACGTATTTCGCGACAAACCCCGCAACTGCATTTTATAATTGCTTCTATTCTGCAATGGGTATCTGATGGCTGTTGATAGGTACGGTAGCAACAACCCCTGACAGATCGGCAGATCTACGCCAAGAAACCTCGCTGCAACGTTATTCTCCTTCCCGGTTGAGCACCAGCATGACCGAAGCTGCACCAACTTGGGAAATAACCACCAATGAGCATCTTGAATTCTCAACACACACCTCGGTCTCCTGGGATGGCCCCAAGTAGAGGAAGGATAGCCCTGGTGGCTATTATTCCCGTCGTGGTTGAACAGATACACTTGATTGGTATCTGGTATCCAGGAACCAGACGCAAGAACACACCACCTTCTCGATGAAGGCGAGAGTGTGATGCGGAGATAATGTAACATATCACAAGAAATCCTGAAAGTATCATATTTTCCACGTTGACAGGACTTATAAAGAGCTCGTGGACAGCCAGTTTAAGTAAGATCTCTCCATCCTCGTATATCCCTCTCCAAAATGCCTTCTCTTATGAAATTCTCGCAGGTTTTGTTAGTTGCAGCTTCTGTTGTAAATGCAAATCCTCTTTCGTCTCTTTTCAGAAGAGGAACTGTTTCAAATGATCAGATCGTTGGACTGCCGGAAAGTGTCCCTTCTGGAACCCTTGGACAGGTTTATGAAGCATATCAGCCTTTTCTAGACGTCATTAACGGCTGTGTGCCTTTTCCAGCTGTCGATGCTAGTGGAAACACAAAGTATGAGAAGTCTTTGGGGTCTCTAGAACGCACTTACTAACCTTTATAGCGCCGGGCTCGGTCTGTCAGGAGGAGACGATGAGGGTTGCTCTAGCAGCACTGGTCAAATATACGCGAGAGCTACAGCATACAACAACATGTACGCCATAATGTACTCTGTAAGTGAACTCATCCCCTAAACGCCGGAAATCCAATCTTCCGAACTGACATTATATCCACAGTGGTACATGCCAAAGGATTCCCCGTCCCGAGGCCTAGGACACCAACATGACTGGGAAGGCGTGGTAGTCTGGCTTTCAAGCGGTACCTCTACAGACGCAAGCAATATTCTCGCCGTCTGTCCTTCAGCTCACGGTGACTGGAACTGCAGCAGAGATTTCCGCCTCAGTGGTACAGGTCCATTGATCTCTTACTTCAGTATCTGGCCCGTCAATCACCAAATGGGGATGGCTATTGATGTGGGAGGTCAACAGCCACTTGTTGCTTGGGAGAGTTTGTCTTCCGCTGAGCAAAGCGCTTTGCAGAATACAGATTTTGGATCTGCGACTGTGCCGTTTAGGGATGCGAATTTCATGCAGAATCTGGCAGCTGCTACTTTTTAGGCAGGTTTTCCTTTGTAGCAATTTTAGGCTGGAACCAGTAATGAAACTCATGGGATATGATGAATGGCTGTATAATCCGAAAGTCTGAGACGTAATTAGCATATATAATATCTTTCCAAATATACTCGCAGAAAGAGTGTGAAGTCATCATGAGCTCTACACCACGTTGTATTTCTGCCAACACAAATAGGGAGGTCCTCAGTTTGACTACAACGCTCCCCAAAGCAAACATCTGTGTACATATAGAATATAATCACTGCGCTGCATTTTTGTAGATTAAAGTAGTATAACAAGTTCTCTTGACAAGTTGACAATACGATGACCCGCGTGATGCTGTGGCTAAGCTCAGTGAATAAACATTCCGACGAGTTCTTGTTGGTCAACATGGACTTTACCGCAAACAAAGTACAACAGAGTGGAATGAGTTTTTCTGATCGCGATGTAGGTTCGGAATTCTCAAGAGGCATACGAGTTAAGAAAAAAACCAAATACTCGACCTTCACAGCACGGAAAGATACTACGTTATTTGAGTCAAGAAATATTTCAACCAGAATCTGCTCAAGCTTTTATAATCCCCTGTCATTGCTCTTCGGGTGTTCCAGATTTAGCTGATCCCTCGCTCTGGCTAAGTTCATGAATGTTGTTGTTCTTTGCCTCCTCAGATGAACTGTAGGCCAACACCTCTGTGGGCACACCTTCGCCATACATGTATGGAGGAATGAATTGCTGCTCCGATCTCCCGATATAATAAACCCTCAAGTCAATATTCCGTTTGTGATAGGTTTTACCAATCGGCAGAACCACTCCCCGAATAATTTCCTCCTTCTTCGCATCTGAATCGGGTTCACCTGCGATGAAAGCCACTATGTCAAGGGCTTGTATAGTCAAGTTCATTCTGTCCAATCTATCCGTCAGATCAGGAATATGAACGGTTGGAATACCGAGAATCTTCAAAGATTGCAGCTGCGGGGGCATTCCATGGTGGAAATACGTGAAAATGAAGAATGAATTCCAGAAAAGCTCCAGATTTTTCAAATTCGTCAGCATCGAAAATTCGTGTGTTATCGGGGTGCGTAGCACATGAAAGTGGGGAAAGAAACATCCAGTGTGCGAGAGATGTATTAAAGATTCGCTTTGTTGATCAAGTGCTCGAGACAAAGCGTGTGAATCGATTCTCAGCTTTTTGCACGGATTATCATGTAGATGATACATTCTTTCACCCAAAGCGATTCGTTGCAAGGATTTCGGAAGCGTAAGAATAGTTTCAAGACCGACAGCAGCGATGTTACATTCTTCGAAAATCAAATTCTTCAAAGCGGTAGATTTGTGGAACTTTTGGTAGTCGTACTTTTGAAAAACCGGAAAGTCTGGACCAACATTGAAGCAGGAGAGCTTGATTGAGCTTAGAGTCGGGTGTAGAAAAATGATTGCATTTTCCCCTAGGTCAAATCTACTACGACCAGTCCCAGCGTTGTGTGAGTGTAAAGTAACTATCGAGACGTATTAGCGATCGATTTCTTGTAATGATATTGATTGGGAATTATAGGCTAGTAATAAATGGTAAGAAGAAGAAAAAAGGCTTTTCCAAGCTTCCATAGAAGCACGGAGATGGTTGATGAACTTACGAGTCTGGAGGTTAGCTAAATGCCGGGGAGTAATTGGTGAAGAGTTCGAAAGAGAGCCCGAGAGAGAGTCCGAAAGAGAGTCCAAAAGGAAACCGGAAAGAGAGGCCTCAAACAGCTTTCCATAGTCAACGCGTCCTTGACTCTCCCAATCTCGGTCACCAAATGCCCATGGTTTGTCATTACAGCAAGGAGCTTCAATAATTAGATGGCGAAGCTGATCCATGTGATATAGGAAAGGTTCAAGATCTTCGATTCCTTCCTCGGAATCAAATCTATAACGAATCGCAAGGTCCTTAATTGCAGAAAGACGTGTAGGTCTAGCTGTGAAGCTTGGTTTGAGGACATCTTTGACCAACGAGCCTTTCAGGACCAAGACTGATTTGTAGATGAATGGTTCGGAAAGAAGTTGGAATTTGGAGCATGTGCGCGCGAGATTACAGAGTGATACTCTATCATCAATTCGGTCAACAATAGAGAGCAGGAGCTCATCTGCCAGTTCTTGGAGTTGCATCGCTCCCATCTAGTGGAGATGCTGGTGTAATGATGTTGAAGGAAAGCCAGGGATGCGTATGTGTAGATGTGGGGTAAAAGTTATTGCCACCTATCGGGGAAAGTTCTCCCAACCTGGAACAGACCCATAAATAATAGTCACGTGATACAATCTCAGATCTCAATATAGCAACCTAATGATGAAGCAATCCCTAAACATGGTGTAAAAGTAACTTTAATTAATAGAGTTCTAGAACCCAACCCTTCGAAGCACTAATCTGTACTTGTGCCCGTATACTCGTAGATGCATTCAAACCAAAATGTTACTTTTTGGAGCCGCTAATAATAAGTGCCTCTGTATAAAAGCTGTACAAGTTTATAATGCAGTGATAGTTTTTGGAAAACAAAAGTCTATATTGGATCAAGTGTGTTGGGTAAGGATTCGGAAGGAGAACTGGGATATGAATGTATGTGGGTGATAACTCATGGCATAGGTTGTTTAGATAATCATTTACTTTATTGGTGTAGACATGATTAAAGTTTGTAGTTATACTCACTAGTAACTAATAAACTGCTAATTAACGTACTAACTGGTCTTAATCATTAAAAAACAGAATCTTTATAAAGAAAGTATAGTTAAAGCAGCCTCCAAACTTTACCACCCTAAAGTAGTAGATAGGTATGGAGGAACGGGGAAGAAAGCGCTTTGGCATTTTGTTAAATGAGCAATGAACCCCAAATCTCTTGAGGCTAACGAGAAAAGTCGGAAATAAGTCTGTTGCGTAATTTCAACGTCCTCCGCATGGACCCCCTTCTCTGTTACTTGTTCACCTACTGTAGTTTCTACACTGTGAAAAGATTTGAGCATCCATAACTTGGTTCGCTAAATTATAAAATTATAACATAGAAAAACTGTCTGCAAGATTAAATGAGGAATCCATTACCGATGCCTGCAGATTGTGATACAGAGGAATTGCTCTTAATTCAGTCTTCATGAGGGCGCGCACTTTGGTACTTGTATGAAATAAATTGTGAAATAAAGCTGCGATCTTCGTTGCTGAACCTCCTGTCGGTTAAGTGTATTTGGAAGAATTGAATTTCGCTAATCGACCCTATATTATTTGAAGACAAGAAAATACCAGTACTCTTTCAACAGGATTTAAACGAACTTATAAGTAGCGCTCTTAGTTCTTGGAATGGGGTTGAGAGGTAGAGAATGCAACGCATATAACGGTCTTTGCAGGGTATTCTATATGTTGCCAGCCAGACAAAGTCATGAGAGCTGGGTGGTGTGGTGCTGCTTTCTTGTCCCTGGCGATCCGTAATACTGACAACGCAAAGGAAGTCAAATAATGTGACGGCTCGAATTGACCAGGAATAACATAATGGAGAAGGCAGTAATCGCCATTTTGGTGAGGCTAATGGATGGTTTGTCAGTGGGGTTGCGGGGATTATGGTCAAATCATTCCCCCACACCACCAACTGCAACACACCACCACCTGCAACCACTGCCACATGCATGCATGTATGTATGCACCATCAACACTACAGTAGAGCATTAGGGATACTTTCTTGGCATGGGAGGGACTGGGGTTCTTTATTGAGGGGTAGCACAAGCTGCCTTTTTAGCACAAACAATTCAACAAACCAGGCTTTTTTTTGTTCTCTTCTTCTTCAGTTCTGCTAGAAGAGGTGATAATAGTGGGTCGGTCTGTTCAAGGAATCGTACGTGTGGCAACGCTAGTTGGGACTTAGCCGAGAGCGCTTCTAGAATACAGGCTCCCTTATGGGCGTACCGATCCCTTTCTCCTACATCGCCACTCCTTCATTCCCACCTGTAGCTGTAGCTGAGAAAGGAGTGGCTTTGAGAGCCCTTATGTGAGTGACGGGGTACTTTTAAGCCTGACAGTAAACAAAGGCCGGCCTCACTTCGGCATTATTGGAGTTCCCTCCAGTATGTAGTATTTAAAGATAAAAAGCAATTGTAAGGTCGGATTGAGATATCGTACTTCCTGAAGAAAATACGGTTCCTCGTACTCTGCCAAATCCCATCAGACTTGTCAGCAGAGAACCAACCTCGCATGTGTAAACGTGGTCTGGAAACGTCTCAAAAGGTTAACGCCTACCTGAATAATTCAATTTGGGATAAAGTCATATGTGTTACCGTAGTAAAAGTTAGTTCTGGTTTACATAGCCTTGAAAAAGTTATCTTTCAAAGAAATATCTTAAGTAATTTAGGGATATATAAAAATAAATACAATGCCCAACTAGGCTTCCATATCGACAACACATGTATTTCAGACAAGCTCTCTTACTTTGATCCAGTCCCAAGCGAGACCTGAATATGTTGGTGCACGGAGAGCCTGGATACCGGGCGATCCCGGGACTAGGGTAACATACCTAGATTCGTCGATTTTTGGAGTATACATTGTGTCTGGTGGGGGGTGCATATGAAGTTTTGATGGTTGACCAGGGTGGTGTTGACCTCTATGTGTGCTGAAGCTTGATATTGTGCCCGGTTAAGTGTTTTCCGTGGTAATGCAGTCTTAGCTCAGAAGCAGGGCATGCAAGAGGAGGTGTGGTGCTTGCCGGGCTAGGGATCAAGGCACCGTCGTGTCACTGCTGCTCACAGCCACACGCAAATATCAGCCATCATCACGTTTGTGCCTAACGTTTCTTCGCTCGCTCCAATAATGAGAGTCTTTGTCACATCCACAAATCCTGAGACCCATTATTGGCAAGACCCATACTCACCCATACTCACCCATACCTCCACACCGGCATCCATTTCATGCGAGGAATCGACAGGCACATTCCACTGCGTACAGCCAAGATAGGATAGGCCCTATACCAGATCTTCGCCCCGAGTGCCAGGAAAACTGAATACTGTAATGACGTGGGAAATCATATGAGATCGTAGTGGAAAACGAAAAGTATGAAGGTATCTACATGAGTAAAAACCATGACGACTGGGTTTCTTAATCAGATTGAATCATACAAGCGATCGCCCTGTCTTCAGGAAGTTCACATCATCGACAAGATGGTGCCATAGGGCGTGAGAAATACCAGGGCCTGAGATCGGGGAGTATCACCACCGATAGACAAGACAAGCCAGAAGGGCAAACAACGGGGTTTCCCCCCTCCCCTCCCGCTCGCGAACGCTCCCGGTAACCAAATGCACTGCAATGCTGGTAGGGACGTCGAGTCCTGCAGATATGACACCCCACTAGGACAAGTGGGCCCTGTTGAGCTTTAAGTATGGCTTTTTATCCTCCAAGAAAACGACCGATTGGGGATAGGGTTGTATGGACATTGTTACGATACCATGAATTGGTAGGGTCAGCCCCCCGAGCTCGTCGCAGCAAATCATTCCTGGCCACCCCCCTTTTATCTCCGGGTCTTGGCAGAAGGGATGCGCTGGCTACGGCCCCTGGGCGGCGTCCTGACTACGCTGGTGCCAGCGTCCCTGTACGACATACGATGTTTCCCACCCACGAACCGTTACGCGGGGTGGAGAGAAAATTTGATATCTACAGTATTTGGCGAATGCGTGAAGCGGTCGATGGCTTCGGTGAGAAAACCAGGCAGTTCTTCTCCATATCCATACAGTCTCCTCTCGAATACATAAGGATGACTTCTCCCACCAGTTTCCCGTGTAGAAATCACCTTTTACTACAACTTTCGAAGGTGTATACCGAGTATCTCGTTTACACCATCTACCGACATCCATTTATCTTTTGAAACAATCCAACAAAGTCTCTAGAGAAACCTTTCGTTTTCAATCCATATTTCGCTTACCTACTCGGCTCAACGAAAAGTCGGAAAATGATCTGATATTACGATTCAGACTACTTCGCCTTTCAAGTCTGAGAAAATAAATATCACACAGTCCAAAGGATTCAGCGAATATCAACACCACACCACACTTCTTCAGTAAAGACATACGCCTACAAACCAGCGTTCGCCCACACTCCTGTCATCACTCCAACATTCATACTCATCCTCAAACTCAACCCTCAAACTCAACCCTCAAACTCAACCTCGCGTCCCTTCCTCATCCCCTTCCTCATCCTTACCTCCTTCCCTCGCGTATCCTCACATCCTACACCACTCAACCCACCATTTCCAATCCCGATTCCGACCCCAAACAACCAACAATCATGTCCCAAGGCAGTGCATCATCAACCCAAGCCATGAATGGTTCCGTCACCAGGTAAATCAATCCTTCTTTAGCCTCTCGGTTTTACCATACACTTCCCCATCCACACTTCCCCATCCACACTTCCTCCTCCATACACAATCTACAATTACTCACTACTACCACACTTCCTCTCCCTCTCCTACCCTCTCACCCTCTCACCCTCTCACCCTCTCACCCTCTCACCCTCTCACCCTCTCACCCTATCACCCTCTCACCCTCCCACCCTCTCACGCTATCCCACAACCCAACCTAACAAACCCCCTCTCACAGCACCAAAAGAGCCTCAAGCCCCCTACACAACACCAATCCCTCACAAAACTCCCGAACCCAAATCCCCTCACACACCAACTCCCAAATAGCCACCTACCTCCAGAGCTCAACACCATATACACCATATACCACCACAACCACCACCACCACTGACGAAGCAATCCAGAGCGCACGGCAGAATATGGCTTCGAAGATCTCAGAGTTCGACAACGCCTTTGAAGGGCGTGAGAGTAGGTGAGAGATAAAACACCATAGGCGATAAATACCGTAAGTACATGTATATATCTAAGCGAGACACTCACCCTCTTCACACCCTCCCCCCTCCCCCTTTGATTATCCAAAGCCATGAATCAAAACCTAACAACCCTATCCAAGCTCAGAGAAGCCCAATAAACACCAAGACCAGCTGAAGAAAGACCGCGAAATCTGCAATTGACAATTGACAATTCCCGTCCCTGGTTCAACACTGAGACCTAAACCGAGAGGTCGCGGTATACTCACATTGGACAGCCTTTACTCCACATCTACTCAGGAAGCAATCCAAAGCGTACTCCGTACACCATACTATACCTCCCAAGACTATAGAACCCGATAAGCACTCCGCGAGGCGTACGTATATATAAGCGAGCGCCAATGCCGTAAGCGAAAGAACGCATCTCATCCCCTCCCACCTTTTCCTTTTCCCATCCACATTGATTAGAAGTAACGACGACCGAACAATCCTAACAACAAGAGTAGATTATTCAAGACCGCGAAATTAGACAATCCCACTCTTATCGCACAATCACTACCCACAACTACCAAAACCCGTCAAGCAATCCATAAAGCACGCTATACTACAACCTCCAAGATCTCGAAGTTCGACAAGATTCTCAAACGGAGTGAGAGCAGGTGAGAAGTAAAAGTTCAAACACGCACGACACAAATCCCGCAATCGAGGAATGGAAAATGAAAAATGTGAGATGATACAACGAAGGTTACGGAAAAAGTAGAGATAGATGCGTAAAGGGGAAGAAGATACCCCTTTCCAGCGCAAGTAAATATTTGCACTGGACTTCCATCAAAAAGAGAAATATGAGATCAAAAAAGAAAAAAGAAGAGAAGGATAAAGAGGAAAAGGTAAGAACACTCAAAGCTTACTTTTTAATAAAGTCATCTAATATATTCCTAACATCCACGCACCTGTAGTAAAACACCCGCCCAAAAACCCAGTGAACACCAGAAGCTAAACGCCAACGCTGTGCTTGCTTTCCCACCACATCCCAGCAAAAGGTCGCCGAAATCATGCCCACAAACACCTAAGGTCTCAAATCCACAACCTCAAAACCCAACCCTTCAGCCTCAAAAACATGCCCCGGTCTGAGGGCATCCGTATATATATTCCGCTCATCATGTGGATGAAATAAGCCCGTCTTGCGGCAACTCAACACACTCTGCATGCCCGGCGGATCTGTCAAGCGGAAAATGCCCCATCTGCCATAAGAATTAGCCGAATACGCAAGAATTAATGGAGGATGAAGGGGTACAGGGTAGACTCACGAAGGATCCTTGCTCGGTGCACAAACAATCGCAATACTTTCCGGCATCATAATCTGGTATCCGGCATGCGTATGTAAATCTCGACTACTCATGAAACAAGTCTGTGAAGGATGCGTATGAATCCAACCCAAAACCATCAAATCCTCCGCAGCGCAGTAGTCGAAAAATGCACTCTCGTTGATTGTCTCACATGTATCACTTGTGCTTTCTTGTTCTGGAATGACAACTTTGGATATGAAAAGCGCATTCGACTTCAAGGTCCCACACAGCATTCCGCAAGTTTCTAAATTCTTTCGGGTGTTGGAGGCTGCGTGGGCAAGAAATTCTTGGCGTAGGGTCGGAGGAAGGAAGACTGTTCTTAGTGGGTTGCCATTCTCGAGGTATGCTGAAGGTCGGAAGGTGTAACTTGGTGGAGGTTTGACAGAAGTGTTGGAAGGGATTTCCTCCTCTGGTCTGCCGGGGTAAGGTGGTGGAGGAGGTGCTGATAGAGGTTGCTCAAGGCGCTCTTTTGGTGGCTTTGGCGGTAGAGGTGCTTCACGAGGTGACTCTGATCGTGGTCTGGATTCATAGGAATTATCGTCATATCTCAGAGGTTGAGATTTATTTATCGAAGGGTAATGATATTCGCTATGTCCATTTCTTTGTTGATCTGGGCGAGTAGGGCGTGGGAGCGGTCTTGGTGGTCGTTGTCGAATAGCACCAGGCAGAATATCATTTGGCCCATCCAATCTTCTCCTGGATGCCTCCATATTTAATCTCATATGATCATCCTGCCGCGAAGAGGCAGCACCATCTTTCGAAAGCGCTGCCTCCCAATCATCCCATAACCCGGCAGTCCGTCTTTCATGCTCTTCTTCGGCCGTGACGCCCGCCTGACGTGATCTCCGCGCTGCATCTCTTCTCCTAGCCTCACTATTCCCTATTTTGACTGCCAGCTCGCTATGTTCTGCTGCCCCTAAGGTCAACGTATTGCCAGCCACTGCCGGATCGGATGCAGCCATTCGTGATTGCGACCTTGAGCTAGATTCGTCCGCGGCAGCATCCGCTTCTCGCCGCCGATTCATTTCCTTCTCCCATGCTAAGCATCGTGCATCGATTGAGGGCTTTAGAAGCTCCAAACGTGCAATGGCGGCTGGGACGGCTTTTCTAGCGGCCTTGAGCGTTTGGCGATGTTCGGGTTGGTTTACTTCTGGGTGCCATGGGATCTTGTCCATAACAAGACTGGCATATCGCATCAATAGGAGATAGGCTTGCTGGTCATTATGCTCTCGGGTGTATATGCGTGCCTAAAGATGTTGTTAGTAGGAAAAGGTGTTTGAGTTTGGGCATAAGTAGGAGCAGTCGTAATCTGGGGCAAGATGTGTTTGTTCGATGCGATGGAATGGGCGAAAGGAAAGATCTCCTACCTCTCGCAGCAAAGTATCGGCGGTTCGAAGCCAGTATTTGAGTCCGATCGAGGGATTGAAATCAAAATCATCTGCTTTGCTGGCGATTTCCTTGATGCTCATGGGCTTGGGTGCCTGTGACCCCGCCATGACGATGGCTATGTTTGTCTGGTGGGGACGTGGACAACAGAAAGAAGTTCAGAGGGGCGAGTCACAGTGGAAATATGTGTGTGTAATGTATTCCCATCAGTCACAGATATATGGCCAAATGTGGTGGTGATGGTGGTGGTGGTGGTGGTGGTGTTGCTATGGTAGACATTGCGAATGCCTTTCTATCAAGACGTGCTGGGCTGCATACCTCCCAAGGTTGTTCCAAAGTGCATCTGCCCTCTGCCTGCGCGTCATTGGGTTGGTCGGCAAAACTACGGTGAATAAAACCTCAAACGTGGGGCAGGGACAAGGGGAGGGGCATATTCAGTCCTGAGGCATCAACAGATGATGGAGACAGAGGGGAATTGGGCTCTGACGAATCATCTTTGAATGCCGGCCTCTACATTAGTAGACGCTTGAATTTTCCCTCCGCTTCATGTTACGAATTGTCCTGACAGCAGCTCGGCCTGTCTTCCGAAGCTCACTTGCACGGCCATATTCAGTCGTACAACATCCACATAAACACTCTCCTTTTCTGCGATCGTTTCATACACGAGAGTCTCTACGATATCCACGCGCGAAACCCAAAGTCGACCCTGAACCTAACCCCAACCCTGACCCCGTTGTTGTTGCCAACCCTACACTAGAGAAGAGTGCCGAGGCAGATAACACCAAATTGTTGGAGGATTTGGACAAGGCACCTGCTGTCAAGGTTGCGAAGAAACTCAGGAGGAGGGCAAAAAAGATACCAGTCCCTGACCCCGTTGTCGACAATTCCACCCTCGAGAAGGGTGCCGAGGCGAATAACACTCAACCGCTGGAGGATTTAGAAGAGACACCTATAGTCAAGGGTAAGAAGAAAACCAGTGGAAGGGTACAAAAGAATCCAGTCAAGGGTGCCGAGGCGAATGACACCAATCCGCTGGAGGATTCGGAAGACACACCGATAGCCAAGATTGAGAAGAAAGCTAGGAGGAGGGTGCAAAAGAAACCAGTCCCTGACCCCGTTCTTGTCGACAATTCCACTCTAGAGAAGGGTTCCGAGGCGGATGATACCAAATCGCTGGAGGATTTAGAAGAGACACCGGCAGTCAAAGTTAAGAAGAAAACTAGGAGGAGGGTACAAAAGACACCAGAAATTCCATCAGAGGTGGAAGTGAAGAAAAGCAGAAGAAAAAAGGAGAAAAACCCCGACATCGTGCCCAACTCAAATGTTGAGAGCAAGGCACTTGAGGAAGCCAAAACTGACGCGGAGGTATCACCCGACAGATCATCTCTAGAGCCATCACAACATGAATATGCAGCCAGCAGAACGTTTCTAGAATCCTTAGGGATATCTATGCCTCAAAAACACATGAAAGCTTTTCTCACGCCAGGTTCCGTTCACACTAGGGGAAGGAAAAAGCGCCCAAACAAAAGGGAGCTTAAAAAGGAGCTCAAAAAACAAAAAAAGCAATCTGGTGTTGATGGTGATCAAACTGAAAGCGCCCCGGTGGAAGACATACCCACAAAGAAAATACGACCAAAAGCAATCTGCAATGATTTTGAGATGGAACTCTCTGGCGCATCCGTGGAGCTGGCAGAGGGGTTGGCGCAGGTTATGGAAGGTGTTTCTAAAAGTAGTCGGAAAAGAGTGAATGTGGTTAGTGGCGAACTTTGTGGTATTTGACCCCTTGCCATTCTTGAGATGAGCTAAAAGTTTCAGATGACATATTAGAACGTTTGAAGCCGTCACTTTCGAAGCATATCGGCTGCGATATACTTGACTTGAACCCTGGAGCATGCGTCTGGTCCTCCAAGATGCATGAGTTTCTCAAGCCTCGAACTCACGTCCTTATGGAAAACGATGCCCAAATTTATAAGCCATATATTCAGCCACTTCTAGATGCTCCAGGTTCGACTTACAAACTATGTGTCAAGTCGCCATTAATTTGGTCTGAAATGAATTCTGTATTCACCAAAGATTTCTTTCCTTTGCAAGAAGCTTTTCCAGAAGGAGACCCTCGCCTTGATGAACCGAATGATACGATGCTGGTATTAGTAAACTTGGCATTTTTTCCAAAGCAATCTTATAAAGGATTTCCCAGCATCACCCCTCTGGTCATCCACCAATTGATTTCGTCTGTTATGTCTCATGCTCTCTTCCAGAAGTATGGTCTTATTCGCATGCTCGTCTGGGTTGCTGATACTGAAAGAGAGTCCATGCTACCTAGACATGTTACTTTCAGGCGGAAAGCCTCTTTAGAAGCCGAGATTGCTTGTAAAATCACCGAAGTGGCATCATCCGGCAGTCCGCCAGCGTTTTTCCGGCGAGATTCTGGCGTCGAAATCTCCATTACGCGCAAGGTTCTCGAGAAGATGAAGCAGCTCGATATCAAAACCCCACGAGGACGTGAAAGTATTGTCCAGGAACATATAATGAATTACCCAGATGATGCAGAGGAGTTAGTCGACATGCTCGATAGCGACAAAAAAACCCATCATTACCTCCAGGAGCTTACGGAGCTAGAGGCTAAATGGGAATCTGGAGACAAGATCAAAGCTTTCCGTGTCACAGAAGAAGGCAAGTTGGCTCACGAGGCGAAAAGTAGATTGGTACCAAATCCAGACTATGCGCGGATGATTTTGCTTCAAAACCGAAAGGAATTTCGCACCGCGCAGAAGCAGAATAGAGATGCAATTATATCGAAACACAGGGACCTATTACAGCAGCAAGCAGCTTGGTACGGCATAGAAGGCAAAGAGGCAAGCCTTCGACGCGACGAGCTCAAAAAACTTCGGGATGATCTTATTGATGAAATCGAAAATCTCAGATCCCGGGAGGCGAGAGTGAGAGTATATACAGATATCGATAATGCCCGTTGCATGTACGTTGGGGACAGCCCTCTCTTGCAATACGACCGCCGGGTTTCCGAACCCTTGAAAGCCTATAAAGAAGAATTCTACCCCAGCCAGACCGAGCTCTGCCTGCTAGACTTTGAACCACAACCTATCTGGCCCGTCTTGCGAAAGAACTTTCCAGCCAATCTGGACATCTTTCAGCACATCCTCACCACCATCTTTGCCCTGCCTAGCCAAAGCGTCAAACAGGCGCTAATTTCGCTCTGGCCGGGCGCGTACGAGTACTTGGTCCAGGAATGTCCTTCCCTGACGGATCCTACAGTTGGGGGAGATCCCAATCTGGATTTGCTTGCTGTGAGGTGTCTGCCATTTGTGTCTTTCCGGGAGATTCTTGAGGCGTGGGATCGCTGGCCTTTTAGGCCGACTAGGGAGGATCTTTTGGCTCATGGGGGAATGTGGGAGAACGATGAGGGCTTGGAGGCAATAAGTGGGATGACAATGTATCCTTGAGATGGAGTTGCCATATCGCCTGGTTTGGTGACGTGAGTACATACTGTCGGTGTGATTTTGTTACTATATCCGCGGAGAAGGAACATCTTTCTATTTACAGAAGCGAGTCTGCACTAGACAGTATCATATTCTCACCATAGCTATACCTATTTGGCAGGCCCTTTGGGCTGTTGAATACCATTAGGCCGCTCGTCGCTAAGCACTTATCGCATAGTGATTAGCAAATGAGCTAGCATCTACGTCGGTAATTATTTGATCCATTTCAACGCCAGGTGAGCGATTTGAGTAGTATGTATATGAGGATAAGTTGATCTTGACTTTTGGAGTCTCTTCACATCGAATGACAAGTATACTATGACAATGTACATTTTGGAGAATATATCTCAGAACAACAAAAAGAAATTGAACACAACACCACCAGAATCAAATCAGAGAAGAACCTTCAACCCTCATACCTTCCAAACATCCCCACCCTCACGATAACCCCCTCGGCCAAATCCCATTCCTCCCAGGCGCCAAAATCCCATTAGGATCAAGAACATCCTTAATCACCTCATGAAACCTCATCAACGCCCCCCCACCCCAATCATACGTCCCCGCAACCTGATCCGCAAACAGCAAATGCGTCCTATACTCCCCGAACCCCTCTTGGGCCGCCGCATCAATCATCTCCTTCATCATCTTCCGCGCGCGCGCTTTCTCCTCGGCGTCGCTGCGGTCGTAGACGATGTTGGTGATGTAGTGGATCTCTCGTCCTGCGATGCACAGCGTGGGGAAGAGATCGAAGCCCCATTTCTCGTGTAGTGTTGTGATGAGATGGTGGATTTTTGTGGCGTCGCTGGAGTTTGTGGGTGTTATGGGGGAGAAGAAGAGGTGTGCTGCGTTGGGTTTCCAGTTAAGCCAGGAGAGTTCGCGGATGGATGGTATGCCGCTACATACTTCTACGCGGCTGTGGATGTAGTGGTCGGGTGGTAGATCAGAGGGGAGGTAGAATTTACTTCCCGCGATCTTGGCGAACTCCTTTTTGATAAGCGAGAGCTGGCTTGTGATTGATGTTGCGTCGCCATATTGGGTTCCGTAGAAAATCCAGGATATGTTTCCTACTGGTAGTTTACTTATACTGTCTCGTACTACATCGCGAGGTAATGGTCCAGAGCCGGAATACCAATCCGTCCTAGGCCGTCCTGTAACAGCGAGTTCCTGAATCGCATGTCGCAGCTGCGGGATATTCCCCAACACCCGCTTCAAGGCAAGCGGACGGATCGCATCCACAATTTGGCCAAACTGCTCCTCCTCCGGGAAGGTGATCATGTAAGATTGATGCTCTGTAGCTGGCATCAACCAGAACCCCATTTTCGTGACGATGCCAAAGTTGCTCTGCGTGAAAAGCCCGTCGATGGATGGTCCGAAGGAATGTTGGAAGGACTCCCAGGTTGGGTTATCGTCCCCGTTGGGCCCTGGGAGGGAGCCCATTCCAGTACGGAGGAGAGACCCATCCGGTAGGACGATCTCCATACCGCAGTGGTTGGCGAAGTGGTCCCCATATGGTGTGTAGCCTACGCCGCGATCTAAAGCGTTTCCTAGGACTGAACCACCGCCCACATCTGGGACGTCGATCCATAGTGGAAAACCTATTTATTCTCAGCGAGCCATTCACATATTCTTTTCAAAAATTCTACGGCAAAGAGAAAACACACCACTCTTCTGCACCTCCTCATAAAGCTTGAAATAGGAAACCCCCGGCTCAACCATACAACTAGCATTCTCCCCATTAATCCTAAGCACTTTATTCATCTCCCTCCCCAAATCGACAACGACCGAGCCGGGAACTCGCGGTGCCGCACCGCCATATCCCAGGTTACGCCCCATGGAAATGGGATAGATGGGGATGAGGTATCTATTCGCCCATCTCACGATCTCCTGGACTTCCTCGACGGAAGACGGGTACGCGACTGCACTGCAGACTAGTTTTTCTTGGTCGGCTATGTGGAATGCGTCGTGTGTGTTTCTAGTTGTCAATTGATTGGGTAAGTAGGCAGAATTGTTTTGGTTTGGTTTTTCGGTGTTTTCAAGCGAGGGAGGGAAAGAAGGGGAAAGGGGGTGTACGGATGTTCCATGTACCAGCCGTCCACTAGTGGTTTATCGTTTATCTCCACTGCATCATTATTCACTAGAGATTTACGCAGCTCTGTGATTGCGAGGTCGAAGTTCTCCTGGCTCGTGTTTGGTGGTAGTTTTACGGGGTGTTTGCGGGGTACACTATCTGGTAGGGTTTTGAGGGAGTATGTTTTTTCTTTGGTGGCTTGGGCTTCTTTCTCAAGTCGAGTTGGAATCCCGCTGTGAGAAGCATTGAGACTTGGGACTGGGGTGGGTTTACACATCTTTGGAATATAGTTGACAGTTCAATTATGATTGAAGTTCTTGCAGTTTCGAAAGTTTCGAATATTTAAGGAGGTTGTACTGATTTTCGTCATACTTGAACTCCGGATACGTTTAACCGGACGAATTGTGGTAAGATGGGAGGCGGGGAAGTACTGTAACACATTGAAAAGTGATATATATGGTGGGGCTTGTGGGATATTTGTGTAACGTCCACGGGCTCGTCCGTCTTATGAACTTCAAATATAGTTTTATATATATCAAGATTTTCTCGGGTTTCTAAGAATAATCTAAGACTACTGTAAATCTCCCAAAGAGCAGTTTTGTCAAGATCTTCCGGACTTTCCAAAATCCTCAAAAAAGAATGGAGAAACCAATATCAGGTGCCCAGTCTCCTCCCTCTCCCAAAACAAACCTAACCCCCTCCAAAAAGTCATCATAATCGGCGCCGGTCTCGGCGGCTGCGCCGCAGCTCTAGCCATGAACGCAGCCGGTTTCCACGTCCAGGTCTTCGAAAAAGTCCACACCTTCGCCCGATTAGGCGATTCCCTCGGTCTAGGCGAGAACGCGCTTCGTCTGCTCAAACGATGGGAATTATACGAGCAACTCGTTGCAATCGGGAATAAGAGTGAGATGATGCAGATACGACGATGGGATGATGGTAAGATTCTGGCGCAGCAGCCGTTGATGGATATGGCAGGGTATATTGGACATCGTGGGGATTACCACGAGGAGTTTTTGAAGAGGGTTGCGGAGGTGGGTGTTGAGGTAAGGATGGGGTGTAATGTAAGTGGACCTTTGATTGTATGCTTTGAAGTAATGGGGTGCTGTGGGGGTAATGCTTTTTAGGTTGTTGCGTATGATGAGGAAGGGCCGTCGGTTAGGTTGGGTAATGGGGAGATTCATGAAGCTGACTTGATAATTGCTGCTGATGGTACGTATGAATTCCCCTATAGAACAATCTCATTACATCTACGACTGACTGTAGAGAGCAGGAATCAAATCTCTGGCACGTGAAGTAGTCCTCGGCTTCGAAGACAAACCCAAATCCTCAGGTTACGCCTGCTACCGCGCCTTCTTCAAAGGAGCCTACCTACAAGATCTCCCTCTCTGTCGCGAAGTTATAGAGAAGGAATGCGTAAATATCTGGATAGGGAACGACGTACATCTCGTCCAAAACACTCTTCGCGACGGCGATGAAGTAAACTGGATCATCACACACAAAGACACCGAAGACATCAAAGAATCATGGTTCCAACTCGGCGATATGGATGCCGTCAGAGAGCTAGTTCTGAACTGTGACCCCAGGATAAAAGCCGTGGTTGACGCTACGAAAGAGTGTCTAGATTGGAAGATCTGTTATCGGGATCCGATCCCGACCTGGGTGAGTGCTAGTCATAAGATAGCGCTTCTTGGGGATTCGTGTCATCCTCATCTACCGACAAGTGCACAAGGTGCTTCGCAGGCGACGGAGAGTGCTGCTGTGTTGGCTATGTGCTTGAAATTAGCTGGGAAGGAGAAAATTCCACTCGCGGTAAGAATCTCGCAATTCATGCTTAACATAGTATATTTGCGTATTAAGACCTTTAAAGACAAGGACGTACGAGAAGCTCCGCTTCGAACGAGTTCGGCTCTCTCAACTCAATGGCGAGGAACTTCGTGATAGATGGCATAGTGTTCTCAAAGACTTAGATAGAAATGTTGAGATTGATCCAGAGGATGTAAAGATCAGGAATAGATGGCTTTATCCGTTTGATGCTGAAGAAGATACTATTCAGCGATGGCCCGAAGTGTCAGCCGTGGTGGAGAAAGAGTTAAGCGAGGGGAAGATTAGACCGTTGTTTATGAAAACTGAATAAATAGATGGATCCTTGCAATGAAAATCCTTGAGCCCCGAGGAAATAGACTCCACTTCCATCTGTAAGAAACCTAGTCATTTCTCTGCACACACTATCCAAAGTTATTAGACTAAAAGTCTAGTACAACTTAATTAATTGTGAAATTTTACCTAGGTTAATCAGGAGTAAATTTTTTTAGTTATTCTAGATTATTCATATAATTGATTTATTCGTTTATGGTCTTTAGGATAATGCTTTGGTTTACACAGGGCTATACAGAGTAACGCCCGCCTCTCTTATGTCACTCAGTCGTCAAGGTACCGTGGTAAATGCTAGGGTGTGAGGGTGGAGTACGGAATAGTACGAAACAGCGTAAACTGGAGGCTCCTACTCGCCAGAAGTCCTTCTTCTTAATGCGTAGAAGATTGCGATGAGCCGTCTAGTCCGTTTGTCTCTAGGGGTCCGCAGAAAGCTGTTGTCTAAGTGGCCCGAGTTTGTAGTCTTAGACCGTCTTGCCAGCTTCTGCTACTCCACCCTCACACCCCAGCATTTCCTCTAAGGAGGATTTACCACGGTAGGCTTCTGTGCGTTCAATATTACCATCGACACACTCGGAGTTCCATGTTCAAGCTCACCCTGATATTGTAAGCGAGGACATTCAACACCAATCTCGGCCACCCTTTGCTAACAGGCACATAAATTATAAAGCAATTGCCAGAATCTCCTTCAACAAGTCCTAATGCCGAAAGGCGGATGACAAGCAAACTCAAGACATAGAAGAGTGGGAAAGGTTTATGCGTATAAATAATGAGGGATATCAAGCCACCCAATCTCAATTGAACCAAACACATCCATCAAACCCACACGAAGACAGACTCTTTCAACCATTACCTTTAAAATGACAGGCAAACTCCTCATCTACGGCGCAACAGGCTACACAGGCACCCTAATCAGCACCCAAGCCAAACTCACCAACCTCAATTTCACCATCGCTAGCCGGTCCCCCAAAAAACTCACAACACTCTCCAAATCCCTCTCCGTCCCCTTCTCGGCATTCGCACTAGACGACCATTCTCAAACCCTAGAACATCTCAAACCCTTCACAGCAGTCCTCAACTGCGCCGGCCCATTCATCAATACCGCACCACCTCTCATGCGCGCCTCCATCGAGTTAGGAATCCACTACCTCGACATAACAGCCGAGTACAAAACATACTCTCTCGCCGAGTCCCTACATCTCCAAGCGAAAGAAAGGGGGAGTATGTTACTACCTGGTGTGGGATGGGATGTAGTTCCTAGTGATTGTCTCGCTTTACATACACTATCCCTTTTACATGGCAAAGCCGCGAAGAAAATGAGTATTGCACTTAAAGTCGATGGTGGGATGTCTCGTGGTTCGGCAATTAGCGCAGGTGAGATTATGGGTGTGGGAGTTTTGCAAAGATGTGCTGGCGAAATAGTTTCTGTTCCTGATGCGAAGACAAGGGTATTTGATTTCGGGGATGGGAATGAGGATGTGGAATGTCACCCTATCTCTTTCGGGGATCTAATCACGGCGTTACATTCTACTGCCATTGAAAACATCGAAATGTATGTCCACGTCACGGGAGCCGGGTTTCCAGAGGGAGATTTAAGCGAGTTACCTGATGGGCCTAGTGAAGAGGAAAAGGGGGCGAGTAGAGCGGTTGTTGCTGTGGAGGTGATGGATGAGAATGGGGATGTTTTCAAATCTAGGATTGAGACAGTTAATGGGTATTCTTATACGCCGTTAGCCGCCGTGGAAGCTTCGAGACGGGTGTTGGGGGGCGAGTTTCAAGTTGGGTTTTCCACACCTGGGCTGGTTTTTGGGAAGGGGTTTGCAGGTACCATTCCAGGAACACAGATCTTTGATCTTTGAGTTGGGTTGTTAATGAGATGGCCCTTTTCGTTGTTAGGTTGTTTTCTCTGCTTTGGGCGTGCTTTGGGCCCGTTAAGATTTAATGCGCAGTTCTACTTTGTACTTGTTAATGTTAATACCATAAGAGAGGCGAGCATTGCTCTGTACACGCTATTAAAAGTCATCAGGTTAAAACTCTAGTACAAGTACCTTAATTGTCCTATTTCACCTAGTACAATAAGAATTAAAAAGTAATAATTGTTCTAAACTATTCGTATAACTGGTTTAGATGTACGGATAATATTTTTATAACTTAGGTATATATAGAGTAATACCCGCCTCTATTACGTTTTAAGCTCTAAGAAGCCATGACTAACTTAACAGGACACGAGAAGAACTAAGACACTCCCAAACTCTACGTTCTATTTTGTAGAAAGATGTGTAAATTGATTACTGAACCTTAGCTGCCTAACCCATATGAGTAGCCAGTACTTTAAGTAAATCTCCGCTACAAGCGACTTGAGACCACAAAATGAAATGACAGCGAAAAGAATCGATCATGATATCTAGTGCGTTATAGCTGTCCTGTAGGACACTGCGAAGTTCTCTAAAGCTAAACATATCCACGGTCGCGGGAAGCGATAAATGCCCGGGGCACCCATCAGGAACAATTCTCGATAAAGACAAAGAATCGAAGGGAAGAGGTAGCAGAAGCAGGTATGTTTTGTAAGGAAAGTCAAGGGAAACTAACCTGATAACCACCTAATGTCTCATGCTCCCCTTAAGAATTAAGTACCAACCAACAATTTGAACCACATAGGTTCTTATCTTCTAGATCCGCTGCGAAAGAGAGGCTCACGAACGCTGCGTTGACTAGGAGGTGGTACTTTCGTAGAACAGAAAGTTATGTCTACGGAGTACGACAACTCCTGGTTGCCGTTATCATTATCTCTTTATACTATTCTCCTTCATAACATTACAGTAATCAAAAGATTCATAATACGAGTGCACGCAAACAAGTCATAGTTCATGACTTTACAATTAACACATTAATTACTCAATATCCATATCCATATCTATATCCATTCACATCTCCTCCCCCTTAGTTCCCATATATCCCCCATGAACCATCAACAACCTACTCCCTCCCAAGTCCCAAGCTAATTCGAGAACTTAGGATCAACCTTATTTCTACACAATCCCACAAATTAGCAAATCCCTATCTCCCATCCATCCCACACCCCACACACCTCACACATCATGGGAGGGGAGAAGAAAAATAAACATACCCAGTAGCCTTCTCATAAAGCCCCCTCGCCCCATCAGTAACCTTCTCATTCGTCTCCCGTCCAAGACTATGTCCCGATTGTTTTTCCGCGAATGCCAATCCTATGCCATCACAAACAAAGGTTAGCACACCATACTATATAGCCTTATATACAAAACATGCACAAACAAAAACACCAAATATCAAAAACCATCTTCTGACTATACAGCGAATGGCGGATGAATAGCATCGGGTTCGGAATTGGAATTGGAAAGGGGAAGGGAAAGGGAAAGGGAAAGAAAAGGGAATATACCCTTATCACCATAATCATCTGTCTGACCCTGTGCTTGTGTTTGTGCCTGTCCTTGTACACCACCAGCTCCAGGTTGAACCTGTTGGTTGTTGTTATTGTTGGTAGACGATCCACCCGTTGCGTTCTTGATGAAATCCATTTTTGTTAATGTATTTGGAGTTGATAAATTTGAGTTTGAGGGGTTTTTGAGTAATGAGAAGAATGAGATGAGATAGGTAGATGAGATGAGAGAGACAAAAGGGAAGGAAGAAGCTTGGTTTTATACCACAAGACCACACATGGAAATAGTAGTGTATGTTTCAAGGAAGGAAGGAAAGAAGGAAGGAATTGGAAAGGAGCTACCTACGTAGCCAAGACATCATACTTACTCCAACAAGCAAGTTTTCTGCATAAACCGTTTATGTGGAAAACTTGCTGAAAACAACCTAGAGAAAGTCAGGGATTTTAGTTGATTGGCTAAGGAAAAGAGAAAAACAAGCTATCATGCGTTTCTTGCGTGATGTTGGTTTACGGTACAGTATGCAGTCCTGACGTCATTCTTCTTTTGGCTCTTAACCCAGACGGCATATCTGTGCTATGGTAATCCCCAAATCCACCCTCTGATCAATTAGAATATTGTAACCGCAATACTATAGAATTGAGGGTTACTATTATAGCAGTTACAAATATGATAATCTATTCCATAATGCGCCTTTTTTGTGTCTTACGAGGGTGTAGAATGAGTAGGGTGGTAGGTGTAGAATAAGGAATAGAATATAGGCTGTTAACACTATAACAATACCTATTTAATATGAAGGACTGTGTTCCCTTGCCCTCCCTGCTTTCCTAGTACCCCAATATCTATCCTTGTCTAATATGGACGCTACCGACCCGGCTATGTCGCCTTTACTAAAAAAGGACGTAGTAGTACGAGTAACGAGAGTTGGTGCCGGACGTAAACTAAAGGTAAAATAATCGTATTTGGGAATGGCTGTACTTTTTAGTTAGGTATCCTATAGAGGAATTACGAGGAGTTGTTGTTTTATACTTGAATTACCGGAATACTTTCTTTCCTTTCTAGGTGAGGGGTATATTTTAATTAAAAATCGACTCTTTATATTAAATAAAGTAACGAATATTTCGGAAGTTAAAAATTAATTAATTAGTAGGAGAATTCTATTGTATAGTCTAATTAGCGAATTACCTATAACGTGGTTTATCAGCGAGTCGATCATATCACCGAGTCGATCACTTTTCCTTGGCACTACCTCCTCAAACTTCAACACACGTTTTCTTCAACTATTTACCATGGAAATTCAAACTCAAGAAGCGCGAATTACTCTAGCTATCGAGGCTATTCGGTCGTCCAAAAAACTAAGCAAACGCTCTGCGGCAAAGATCTACAATGTACCATATACGACTCTTTCCGACAGAATGGCTGGCCGAACCTACCGCCCAGATTCTCAAGCCAATTGTCATAAGTTGACTGAGTTAGAAGAGGAAGTGATTATTCGGTATATACTGGATATGGATTCCAGAGGATTTGCGCCCCGGCTCGCTGGTGTAGAAGATATGGCTAATTTTATCCTTGAATCGCGGGGGGGAAGACGCGTCGGCAAGCTCTGGGCCCATCGATTCGTACAACGACAACCAGACCTTAAGACGCGTTTTAATCGCGTTTACGACTTCCAGAGGGCCTTATGCGAAGATCCTGACGTGCTAGGCGCATGGTTCCGGCTAGTAGAGAATATGAGGGCGAAATATGGGGTTACAGACTCCGACTTCTACAACTTCGACGAGACAGGCTTTATGATGGGTGTTATTTGTCCTAGAATGGTTGTTACTCGTGCAGACCGACGTGGTAGAGGCAAGGCAGTTCAGCCAGGCAATCGGGAATGGGCTACAGCAATTGCCTGTATTAATGGGGAGGGCTGGAGTATTCCTCCATTCTTGGTAGTTCAGGGCAAGAACCATCTCTCCAACTGGTATACCGACGGCGGCCTCCCACCTAACTGGGTTATGAAACCGACAAGCAATGGTTGGACAAATAATGAAACAGGCCTGGAATGGTTAAAGCACTTTGATAAACACACTACAGCTCGTGCAAAGGGTCTGTATCGAATACTAGTTTTGGATGGGCACGAGAGTCATGAATCGGCTGAGTTCCAAGACTACTGTACGAAACACAACATTATTACTCTTGGACTACCTCCTCATTCATCCCATCTAACCCAGCCACTTGATGTTGGGTGCTATAGTGTGTTAAAACGAGCGTATGGTCGGCAGATTGAGACGTTTATCAAGGCCCATATCAACCATATTACAAAGGTTGAGTTCTTTCTAGCCTTTACAGCAGCATACAAGGAAACAATGACAGTCCTAAACTGTCAGTCTGGATTCCGCGGAGCTGGCCTAGTACCATTTAACCCGCAAGCAGTGCTTTCAAAGCTTGACGTAAGGTTACGGACTCCAACTCCCCCTCGGACGTGTAGTGCCAACTCCCTCCCCTGGGTGTCCCAGACCCCTTCCAACCCAACTGAAGCCCTTTCACAATCAACTCTTGTACGAAATCGTATAGCCTGTCATCAAGGAAGCTCGCCAACTCCACTTTTTCAAACAGTTGCTGCGTTAGCAAAGGGTACAGAGCGAATGGCACATGAGATGACCCTTTTGTCTGCTGAGGTCCGTACCCTTCGCGCTGCAAATGAAGCCCTAAGTAAACGCCGTAGGGCTAAAAAGACTCGTGTCCGCCAAGGAGGGGCACTTATAGTAGAGGATGTACAGGATATGTTAGCTCAGGAGGATGTAGATGAGCAAGTACGACGCGACATGCGTGAGGCGGGGGTTGGTTATAAGGAGGGGCAACCTTCTAGGCGGCGCTGTAGAACTTGTGGAAAAGCTAGTCATAACGCGCGAACTTGTCAAGAAGTTATAGATATATCTAGTTCGTCAGATATAGAGAGCGATAATTAATTTAATATATTGTGGATGATATATTTAGGTGTAAAGTTCTGTGCCAAGAAAAAGTGATCGACTCGGTGATATGATCGACTCGCTGATAAACCACGTTAGTATTAATTAAATAATTAATGTAAGGGTTACTATTATATATATCTAATATTAGTACTAGCGTAAGAAATAATTAGAATAAACTAACTAATAAGCTTTTAATCTAAGTTGTTCTAATTAACTAGACCTTCTAATCTTAATTAATTACTTAATTAATTATATAATCTAATTAAATTAATTAATATAGGCCGAGCCCTTAGACCGGTAGACCGAGAGCTCGGAGGGTACTCGGTAGACTACGCGCTAGCTAAGCGAGAGCCCCTATACTATATACGATAAAGGATAGAGTAGATAGCTAAATTAGGTTAGAAACGCTCTAAGGAGCCTAGAATTAGACGAGAAAACTCTTAGTATTTAGAATCTTCTTTCTAAACCTCTCCCTACTATTTCTATTTGATAGATTCTTTGTTCCTATTCGTATAAATTAGAGCGCTCTCCTTTCTACTCTAATCCTAACTAATTAGTACTCCTTATCCTTACTAGGGTACTGATAAAAAGAGGGCGAGGGTACTTCTAAGGCTAGGTATTATAGGTTTTAGTAGGTCTAAAATAAGTCTAAAATATAGTAGTAAAATTGTGACAGACGTGCTTCAGGTAGAACTCAGAACAATTAACACTCTATTCTTAGGACAAAAGACCAGGAAAGAAGGAGAGCTCGAGAGAGCTGGGAACTAAATACAGGTCGTGCGCGCTAGCGCCTCGCTAAGCTAGCATGTGACATCCAGCCCTCGTGACCATAACCGTCACAAAAATAAATAGAAATTAATATAAATACTACTTTAGATATAACTAAGTGTAACGAATACTCAAACTGGCTAACTAAACTTGGCTGGGTGTTCGCTGGTTGGTATGCTATGATAAGAAGA